ATATAACCCCATATCAACATTACTGGCATTTAAAAAATTTCAAATAACTTTAAAAAAAAAAAAACATATTAAATTGGTATATTGCATTCTATTATAGGAGCTGGGGGAAGCCAGGCACCCCCTCCCAGCAAGACAATAATATAAACTGTTCTGGAATGTGCAGTCTGGCAATTCCTTTCTAGGAATCTACCTCAAAGAGATCACCATGTGTGTGCAAAGATTTACCTAGAAGGATGTTCATAGCAAAATTACTTAGAAAAAATGTAAAAGGGTATCAGGATAACCAAGATATTCTTGGGAACTCTTTGACTAAACCATGGTACATCCAAACAATGGAAGATTGTGCCGTTAATTGAAATGTTGTTTTAGAAGAATACTTCAAGAGAGAGAAAATGTTCTCTACATATTAAAATCTTTTAAAGCAGGTTAACAAAACTCTATGTAGAATGTGTTAATGGTTTTGTTTTAAAAGAAAATGATGACCGAGAATATATAAAAAAAGGAAATCACGCTAATGATTAAATGATGGGTACGTTTTTATTTTCATATTTGTATTTTTCTACTGTGTTCAAAAATCCCCTAATTCCCCTGAAAGCTGTCAGAAATGCAGAATCCCAGACCTGCTGGGGTCAAAATCTGCTTATTAGTAAAGTTCCCAGGTGATGTGTATGCACTTTCCAGTTTGAAAAGCAAAGCTGTATATCACTCAACGTAAGAGAAATAACTGTCTTGCTTAAAAAAAAGCCCCAGACTGTGACAACTGATGCTCCTTGTTCTTTGGAAGGTACTTTGGGTATGAGCCTACGTGATGCTTACCTCGCACAACCCTCTCAAAGTGACTCCACATCTCCACATTTTTTCATTTCAACAATGGGGCATGGAGCAGTGACAGGTCCCTCCGTCTCCATCCCCTCCCCCAGCCATAGGGCCACAAAGCCTGAGCTCTCAGAGTCTGCGTTGAGGTAGAGAAATATAGATTCCTCAAGAGCTGCTATTCAAGCCACAAGCAGCATTTGCCAATGTTCCCCCCACAATCCGGGTTCAGTCTCCCTTCGGCTGCACATCTGGCCGTCACACACTCTTTTGTGGGGACATCTCAATGGCAGCACTGAGGCTGCCTCTCCCCGGGGCCGGCCCACAGTGGCCTCCCTGTCCTCCCAGCATGTGATGTCATGAGCACAAATGTCCTGCCAAACATTTAAGATGGTGCAGTTCACATTGTGTACAGTGTATAGAGAAACACTGATATGCAAGTCTGAAATTTAAAGATACACACACATACACACACAGGGCAAGATACAACCAAACCTTGTTCTATTGTTATCCCACACCACCCATCCAGCACAGATATGTAACTTGTATTCTTCAGGACACAATCTTCTCCTTTTCTGTTGCTGTCTTGAAGCTAGCACCCCTAGATTCAGAGATTCCCTTGAAACGTTTTTTCTCTAATTTGGTTTACCTTAAATTCTTGGAAATCAGGAGCTAATCGGGTCCATTTCAAACCAAAGATCCCCTGCAGGTGGTCTCTCCCGAATAAGCCAGAGCGAAGGGAAGTTGGATGTGACTCTCAAAGTCACCTCCCTGCTGAGTACCAGCCAGGAGAGACAAAGAGAGGAAAGGCATGAAAAGAAGTCACTGCTTCTCAAAGTGTGGCATGGGAACCAGCTCATCAGAATCAGAAAGCATGCAATAAAAATGCAGATTTGGGGGTACCCACCCGGAGTCCATCTCTGGAGGTGAAGAGGGTAAATCTGCCTTTTGCCTGTTGTTATAGTAGTGATTCTCAAGTTGGCAAACTACGGCTTTAGAGTTAGAATTACATCGAATTTTAAGTCTGTAGAGTGGCTATCTGACCTTGGCAAGCTAAACTCTCTAAATCTCATTTTCCTCACCTATACAATGGGGACTGTGGAATCCTTAAAGGTGTGAAGTTCCTGGCACTCACAGGTGTTAAAAACATGAATTCCCTTTTCCCTATTATTCGGGTAGAGCACTTTGGGTCTGCCATTTTATCTGCGATCAGTCAGTCTTCCACCCAGTGACTATTACTGACACAGTTATTGCCAGATTCTCATGGAGCTCTAATAAGAACAGATAAAATCATCAAGGCTGAAAACTTCTTCGTGGTTAGTGAAGCAGACCAATCCAATAGCCACAATCCCCAAGTGGCCACTCAGCACGTAAGGAGTGGCCAGTCCAACTGAGATGTGCAGTCACGGTCAGATATACACAAGAATCTAAAAGGCTTCATACAAAAAGAAGGGTGTAAAAACATCCCACTAATAATCGTTTCCATATTAATATAATATTTTGGCTGTTTTGGATTACATACATTAAAATTAATATCACTTTTTATTTTTAGTTTTCTTAAGATTGGCCCCAGAAAATTTTAAATTACATATATGGCATCTATATTACATATGTTTCTACTGAACAGATAGATATTTCTCTTTCCCATGCTGGAGTTATGACCTACAAAATGGAATTCCCGAGTTTGGTCAGCTAGGAGAGATCTGGGGCGTCTCTTCTGCTACAGGGAAAAGTGGGGCTCATGGAGCACACCCCCTCCCATGAGAAAGCAAGCAGCAGCCTCAGGGAAGGAGGCAACTGAGTGGGCACATCCATCTGTAAGAGGAGAGGAAAGAGACTCGACACTCTGATTCCAGCCGGTGGTTATAAAGATGGGCATATGGGGCCAAAGCTTTACATGCCCACCCCCTTCCCCAACACCTTTGCTCCATTCATGGTCACAGTCATTGTCACCTGATGAGTTTTTGAGTTAAGGAGGGTCCTCCATATAATCACATGACTTGTGTCCTTACAAAAATGATATCATAATAAGCAAATACTTTGATCAACATTAAGATTACCTTTTCTGCATAAGTAATTGAGAAATAATTTCCACCAGGTTATAATCTCCTAATGTACACAACTGTCTACAATAATGACGAGCCCAAGTGGGTATTTCCAAAAAGGAAATGTTTGCTAAATATCAGATTATCAGCTAATGAAATTAGTATTGTTGGAAAAATACTGCCAAAATAGGTTATACTTTGTGTTTTTGGAGCAGAATCATAGCTTGACAGAGTTTCTGGAACAGGAAACAAGCAAAAATCAACTCAATGTGTCTGTCTTTGTCCAAAATTTCCAAACATCTATGAACAAAATGTACTTAAGTATTATTACCTAAAAGTCCAATAAAAATTTTATACTTGTTTATACCTACCCAATTCCTTTCCCAAGTACTAGATGCAAAAAAGTTTAACTGTGTAATGCTTGACAGTTGGTTTCTGATTGCTGCCCATTCATATGTGACTTAAAGATGCCACTAATTTCACTCCACTCACCTAAGAAACGAGTAGGTTACAATTTTTTTTTAATATTTTGCATTGCTCCAAGGTTTCTTTTTTTTTAATATATTTTATCGATCTTTTACAGAGAGGAAGGGAGAGGGATAGAGAGCTAGAAACGTCGATGAGAGAGAAACATCGACCAGTTGCCTCCTGCACACCCCCTACCAGGGATGTGCCCGCAACCAATATACATGCCCTTGACCGGAATAGAACCTGGGACCTTTCAGCCCACAGACCGATGCTCTACCACTGAGCCAAACCAGCTTCGGCCTAGGTTACAACTTTTATGACCACACATTACCACCATGTATATGTATATAGTGAGTAGAATATAACTTGTTAATTATTCAAGGCAGTGCAGAATGACTTGTTCTTGCATCACTAATCAGGTTCCCTCTACAATACTAGAGTCTAAGAAGTCAAATTTTTAAGACAACAACATGGGAGGGGGCTGTTAAGACCACAAAATTGCCAGACAGGATGCTTTTCTAGACCTTTGGCTTTGGAGCCTGACAGAGGAATGGGCCTCCCCCCACTAGTTGTTTACAATCAATATGTGACACCTCTGGATACAACAGAATACTAAAGGCCAGTTTTGCAGACAGTCTGTTATTTTATTGCACAGATTTCACTTGAAGAACAAAATGCACCATGAGTGTTTGGAGAAGTCTGGGGTCTCAGATACCGATTCGCAGTCAGTGTTTACACCCGTAAAGCCAATTTCGACAGTACAATTTATGTTAAACAATAATCACTTCAAGATGGCTAACAGAATGAAAACAGAGACAATAGCTTTTAAAGTGTGTTACGTTGAAGTATATGCGTGTATAGAATTAAAGAGTACATCAGACAAACTGGAAATCAAAAACATTTTTGTGCAATGCCAGTTAGAGTTATACTTACGTGTGCTGTTATCTATCATATAATGAAAGTCTATTTGGTTCATTTCCTTCATACTGAATTGAGAATTTCAGGAAAACCGTGGTTATAAAAATGATCTTGAAAAAAATATGTACAGATAAATGTAAAATCACAAACTAAAAAAAAAAAAAAAAAAAAAAAAAAAATCCCCACCCTTTGCCCTCAATTTACAAAAGGGAAATTTTCCCATGAAGGGAAAGTTCCATGACTCCCTTCCCTCCCCCACCCCATGTCCCCAATTCTATCTTTTTCTAGCTTATGACTAAGTGACCTCGGAGCTGAAGAGGAGGCAGGGAACAGAGAGGCATCTTTATGAGGCTCCCAATGTCATCTGTAACAACAGTTTAAAAAATGTCTTTTATTTCTCTCCCCCACACCCAACTCAGCAATGTTTGCAAGATATTTGAAATTTAAAGAAAGAGAGAGGAAAAAAAATACATAGAGGTGTAATTTTTATGGGCAACAAAAGAATGCCCAAGAGCTAACAGTGGGCAAAACCATGAGAAAACCATGTGGGTATTATCTGAGCTAAAGATTTATTTTATAAGACAACAAAATGGGGGGAGGGGGGTGTTAAGACTACACAATGCCAGACAGGATGCTTTTCTAGACCTTTGGCTTCAGAGCCTGACAGAGGAATGGGCTTTTCCCATCTGTGGTGAGCAAACCTAGGGCTCTGGGCCCGGTATCTACAGCACCTCCGGGGGCAGGCTGGCCGCTCTCTTATACGTGGGCACTCTTGGCGTGAGTGGGGGAGCTGGAGCCCGAAGAGTAGTAGAAACGGTTTTCACCAAAGGCCTGCGCATCTCCAGAGCAGCAGAGGATGACACTGCCACCCACAAGGCAGAGAATGGCACCGATCCAGCCCGCGTACAGGGAGTAGCCAAAGCTCACGATGGTGGTCTCTTGGTGGGCGCACACAGGGAACCAGATGGTGGCAACAATGGCGCAGAGAGCTGGGGAGACATGGAAAAGGCTGTGAGTGAGCATACCCATCGCATACCAAGCGCCGTGGGCAGAATACACCTCCCTCCACACACATGCCTCTGGCTTCCAACCAACTCCAGGAAACTCCACACACACAGCTCTGCCACCCCCTGCCACCTGAACCTAAAGGTTTGCATCTGTAGGATAAGTTGACCAAAAGCTGGTGTCAAACTGCTAGGTCCTTACTTTTTCAACAGGTGAGAGACAAGGAACTCCAATGTAAACACCTAGTAATACATCACTTAAGTCCAAAAATATGTATTTATATTTGTTGACATGTCTTGACTTTATATATCTATAGTTATAATTCTATTATTGCACTTAACTAATTGGGTTATAACTATCTCTTTACATGTCTATTTTCCATTCAAAGTACTGAACTCCTTGACAGCAGGGAACATGTCTTGTCTTTGTAAAGTCGGTGTTTAGCATAGTATGTGCTCAGTGTATACCAGTGGAATGACCGGACAACCTGAGCTATCCAGAAATGAGAATCAAGATAATGCCCAACTCAATTCCCCACTCTATTTTTTTCCCCCCACATTACAAAGACCTAAAAAAAGCTAAGAAAATTCTCTTACTGTGGTGAATATTACTAGACATCTGTGGAGTCTCAGCTAATAGTTTGCATTTATATTATGTTGTTCCCAATCACAAAAATCTCAGCACACAAATCAACAGTTCTTGGAGCAAAAGAATTACCCACCCAAGGATTTTATGGTAATAATATTTGCTGTCATGGATCACAATGGTAGAAATGTATGTTCTTGCACCAACCAATCTTAACTTTCAGATTTGGTTTAGATTTTAAAGAATAAGTTAAGAAATCACCTCTATCTCATTTAGTTTTTCTCCTCCTCCTAAACGAAGTAGCAAAACAAGGGCAGGCAGGAGCCCACAAAGACTTAAAACTCTTTTGAACCTCTAGCCCAGCACTGTCAAATAGGTTAGGAACGAGCTACCTGGGCTATTGACCATTTCTTATGAAACTTGTGAGACTGAAAAAGCAAATTCTGAATTCTAATTAATGTATATTTAAATGACCACATGTGGCTAATGGCTACTACACTGAACAACACAGGTCTAGACAAAGTAACTCCATAATTTCCTTTGTTAACATCTAATTTTTCACAACTATAAGCAGGACAGGAATTTTAGTTAAAGCTTTACGTTAGAATGGCATATTAAGGTTGACAGATCAAAATAATAACAATAATGAGGTTTCCAATAGTTAGCCAAAAAGCCTTCAATAAATTCTAGAAAGGCATTTCAGTGTTTGCTACCTGTGGTGCCTTTGTCACTTTCAACTCAGCAAGCTTATTCTGATTTCTACTCATACTGAGTGATTTTTCTAACTTCCCTCTATACCCACAGAGAAGAAATATAATTTTTCTTTAACACGGCACTCAAATCTAACAGCACCATATAGTTTAGTTCTAAACTAAAGAAAAGCTTTACCCATTCTCAAAGACCTTTTAAACTATCACCACATTTCCTTTTTATAAGATAGGTTTTGGTTGGAAACAGATTAAGTCTAGACCCACATAAGCTGGGTTTAGATACGCCTAAACAGATGTGATTCCTATCCTTAAAAAGTATAGGTCCCAAGAAGAAGTCAGAGGAAAGAGTAAATTTGGGTTTGAATGGCTCAAATTGCATAACGGCCTAAATTCACTCCATTAATTGTGAACTAGTCACATATTTAAATTTAGATAGACTACCTAAAAAGCTAAAATCTATCCATATTCTAATGAATGCCTTTTTCCTAAAGAGTGAGACCAATCATGCCTGCTTTTTAAATATTTTTGTATAAGATACCATGAGATATATTTTCTTTCTGTGACTAGAAAGTTCTCAAGAAGACCAATGTTAATAAAATCTTCCCTTTCCAGCCCTGGGCTTTTAACACCTGAGATACAGGGGAAAGTCTTTTTCTTTCTCTTCTTCTGGCCACAAATTCCAAATCCGTCACTCTTGAGAACTGCTTGGCTATTGTTCGTGGTCATACTCTCAGGGAGGCATAGATAAAAGTCTTTTTTCTTTATCAGAGCAAGAGACAGAATCCTCTTCTAGAGTATTTTGGCCAGAGAAAACTGCTCTCGTCTTTGTATCAATACACAATCCAGCTACAAACCCTTAGACCCCCAAGTGAGAAGTCATCTGCCATGGGCAAAGACATCAATATAGTGGCTTCCAAACACCCAAGCGGATTAGGGGGGAAAGGAGGGGAGTGTGAAGCTGAATTCCATAGGACAAGATGATTTGATTCCCAAACAACTGATTTGGTTCACTCAAGCCAATATTTCCTATAACAGTTAACTGGCTTCCAAACAGCAGTGTATGCTTATTGTTAAATTAAGTTTCATATTTTTTTATTCTTTATATTTAAACATCACACACACACACACACACACACACACACACACACACACACTCCACATTTCATGTAAACCTAACCTAACTTTAAGATTTGGTTTAGATTTTGTAGAATAAGATTAGAAATTATCTCTCCTTTTACTTAATTCTTCCCATTTTCCTAAGCAAACTAAATAAACAAGGTTATCTTCATATAGGGAAAGAATCAGGCTCAATAAATATTCCAAAAGTAATCATCAATCTTGATTTTAAGTGTTTTGAGGGTTTTATTCAATTTTATTCCAATATAATTATTAGAAAAAGGAAAAATCAGGAAAATGTCTAAACATTTAAATAATAAAACCTACAGGACTGGATGAGTGAATGGGAGAATAAATGGACAGACAGGCAGATGAATGAGAGATGGTCTCATTTCAAATCTACTTTCCACTTTGTTCACATCAAAACTGACTTCCTAAATCATTATACCTTACCCATGACTTACCTCATTAAAGATTGCCTTCTTTTATAACCTTTGGCAAAACAAGGCAAATGCACACCGTTGGTTCTTTACTTCCTAGCAGATAAATGAACTCTGTGTGGAATTCCTGTGGCTCTCAAAGATGAACCACATCAAAACCACTAAAAGATGACAGACCGCCACACAACATGAGAGGAAATGAGAGGTTCACTGGAAACAGTGACCTTCAATTGAACTCACAGTGAAGAATGTTTACAAACTAAGAAAGGAGAATTTAGTCAACTTCAGCAGTGGTTTGAAGGGAAAGGGGGATCTATTTTATTCAATAAAGTTAAAAATCCAAGTCATTACTCAACTAAAAGATGTGAACAAATAGAACTGGCAATAATTTTTAACTTTCTTAAAGACATATAAGATGAGAGAGAAAGAGAGAGAGAGAGAGAAAGAAGAGAAAGGTCCTCTTGTTACTTAAGAAAAACTGGAAATGTTTTTCTTTAAAAGTCACAGTTATTTATAAGGTAAAGAAAATTGAAGAAACATAAAAGGAATTTTCATTGCTTTTCTCTTATGTCAACAGAATGTGTTTTTAAATTAAGTCTCTAAAAACAGGACAAGGGAGTTTTAATACTGATTTTTCCATTTGTTTTCTTTTCTACCTTCATCAAATGCAATCGTTAACTGAACAGGGCGGGGGGGGGGGGGGGGGGGGGGCGGGCGGGGGGGGGGGGGGCGGGCGGGGAGGAGGAGCCAGCGGGGAGAGTACAAGGTGAAAATTGGGGATATTCTTAGCTTCAAAAACAAAAGGAGAGAAGGGAGAAAAAAAGCTTCCCTGTGTACATATAGATTCACCTGGACTTGGTCCTCTACAAGTAAAATTCCTTGCTCTTCATTGAATAAAATTGTTGGCCTCTCTTGATAAGTTTCAAATAATGTGATACAAAGGTGTTTTTTAATTAATAGAATACACCCTTATTAAAAGTTAGCAATGATCTTGATGTAGCCAAGCACAGAAAATATTTCGAATAATATAATGAAATAATTTTAGAGCAATGAAATGTAAGTGTAGTGTTTAGTCCCTTTAGGAAATAGATGGCAAATAAGTGTGATGAAATAAAATAAAATTGGTACAGGTATGTTTGGAGGTAACAAAGAAAAAGACAAACAGATGCAGAAAGACAGAAGAACATCAGACTGATATTTCTTCCTCCAGCCATGAGCACCTCTGTTCTTAGGTTTTGTCATTTTCAATATGAAGACTGGAAGGATTGAAAGCATCATTTCTAACAGAAAGCAATATTTTCATTAAAATCACTTAAATTAATCTGACTTATATTAGTAATACTGGAAAAAAATCTTCCTTGATATTATATAGATGAGATTTGCTTCCAAAAAAAATAATCTGGGAATTGGAAGAAAAGGGGAAATACATGGCTGAAGCCAGTTGGCCATGACTTGATCGATTTTTAGAATAAGTTTGGGTGCATGGGGGTTTATTAGACTATTCTTTCTGCTCTGTGTATGTTTGAAATTTTCCATAATAAAAACTTATTTGAAACCCCTTCCATTTAACATTTTACAATATACTGAACATCATCTTCTACAATCCATAGTATTATTACATACAGTCTAAGTAGCAATCAGCATCAGCTTTTCACAAAGAGGCCAGTTAAAACTCAAGGCAGCAAGAGATTCTAATGAGCTGTTGGTTAGATTCATATTTGTTGGTTTCCTTATAACTTGAATTTAGAAAAAAAGTTTTCTCCCTTTTTCATTTATCATTCTCTAAGTTTTGACTTAAGAAAACATAGCTGCCAAAAGGCATATTCCTCTTATGTAGCCTTTTATGACTATCTAATTTTTACAACAATCATCAAGTCAATGGAATATATGAGTACATTATTTTCCTGGCCTGCTTTCAGCACTTCTATTCCACACATGATTATCTTTTTTTTTCCTATAACCTTTTTTAAAAGTCAGTCTCATGGTTACTTGTTCATTTTAATCAGAATTTAGAGACATCAGAGACCTCACAAAGCAGTCAATTCCTCCAATTTTACTGAGAAGATCATTTTAAGCCACAACCATACTAAAATGCCACATCCTGTCCATTATCCATATGAAATTTGATTTAAATGAGGGACTTGTCTGTATAAAACTAATGAGTTTGGATGAAGATTTTTCTAACAATTCTCTTAAGACCCCACAATTAAGGGCAACACCCAAGAATCCCCATTCCCATAAGACTTCCGATTCTGTGTGCAGGTCAAGCTCAATCTGTCCCACATTTGCACACACCATTTATTTTACTACAATTTCATTATTAACCTGTAAGTTCTGAGTTAAAACAACTTTTTTCCAATACAAATAGGATTCCTGGAGCCATATTTTTTAAAAGGAGAGAAGATTAAAGGATTCCATTAAAAAGGAAAATACATTTCCTTTCTTTCCATTCCTACCCCATCTCCCGAAGAAAGACCCAAATCAAGTACTCTCTAACTTATAGTGATATGATCTTTAGATTGAATCAGAACTGAGCCTGAGTGTTTTCAGCTGAGTAGCTTAATGTGGCTTTTTATAATGGGACCAGAGGCCTGATGTACAAAATTCGTGCAAGAGTAGGCTTTCCTTCTTCTGGCTGCTGGCACTGGCTTCCTTCTAGCACCCGGGCCCCGGGCTTCCCTTGCGGTCCCAGCCCATCCAGAAAGTCATCCTGAAGGACATCTGGTCTAATTAGCATATTATGCTTTTATTATAAGAGAGAAGCGAAAGCTCCAGCTTCTGATCTCTACACTCTGGACCTGGAAATGATTATGCTCAGTGAAATAAGCTAGTCAGAGAAAGACAAATACCATATGCTCTCACTTACATGTGGAATGTAATGAACAAAATAAAGTGACCAACAACATAGAAACAGAAGCCTGGATACATGAAACAGACTCACAGCTGTCAGAGGGGAAGAGGTTTGGGGGAAGGGGGATGGATGAAAAAAAAAGGTGAAGAGATTAAAAAAAAAAAAAGAAAAAAAACCTTATAAACCATAGGCACAGACAACAGTGTGGTGACAGCCAGAGGGCAGGGGGTTGGGGGGTGGGAGGTAGGTGGAGGTGCGCAAAGGGGAGATAAATGGAGAAGAAGAGAGACTGCTTTGGGCGATGGGTATAGGATGCAGTGTGCAGATGATGTTTTGTAGTGTAGTTTTCACTTGAAACCCATATGGTTTTACGGCCCTATGTCACCCCAATAAATTCACTTTAAAAAAAAAAAAAAAAAAAGAACTTACATATGTCAATTCACTTTTTTTACCAACTTCAGAAGAAGGCCGTACTCATTTTATATAAAGGTTTAAAAACACTAAGTAACTGCCCCAGTTTGCATAGCTGGAGAGTGGTAAATCCGAAATTCAGGATAGTTGGTCTGACTCCAAATGATAAGATAGAGCGCAGATAGGTCTTGTGAAAAACCCACATGCGATTCGCCTGGGCTGCACTCTTCTCTGAGGAGCCTGCAGCTCCTTGAGCTGCACTTCGGGTTTAGGAAGCCAGCAGCACCAGGTTCCCGTTCCTTCCCGCACAGCAGGAACCAAATCCTCACATCATTGAACTTACTCTGCTCAGAAGATAACGCTGTTGGACAACAGGCAACATGTTTTAAGCTTTTGGGAAAATAATGAAAGATCCTCAGTGTCACAAAAACAAACAAACAAAAAAAACGGATCCTAATTAACAGTGTTTACAATTCCCATACCAAGATTAACTTTGCCACTGTTTCCAGTTCCACTGGCCCCTTTGGTCAGCGACCACATCTCAGCGGGAGTGCCAGGGCGGCCCTCAGAGCACAGCGTGAGCCCAGCACGGGCTTCTCCCAGCCAGGGAGAGCGACAGAAGCCAATCCAGAGCAGCACAAAGGGAGCCTTCACTCTCTCTCGCTCCTCCCACCCTCCGCCGACAGGGAAAACAAGGCACTCGGGCTCTTGGAGAGAAAACCTAGAGGAGACCAGCAGGTGCCACACTTGAGACAATGAGCTTTACATTCCCAGAGCTAGCTCGTTCCAGGCCAAACAACAGCCAACCCGAAGGCTGGTGGACACCCCCTGAGAAATAAATCCGCATGGGGCAATCAAAGAGGAAGCAGGTAACCCTGGAAATGCAAGGCTGCAAGAGGGCAAGGAGCGGTGGTACCCTCCCTCCAGCACTCACAGTGAGGGGCCAGAGAAGGGCTGCCCTCCTGGCGTTCAGATCTCTCAACACCTCCTCCACAGGCAGCAAACAGACTGAGGAACTCACACCACTACTCAGCCTCACTTGGCTTTCCTTTCTTCCATTCTGAGTACATCCCCCACCCCATTTGTAAAAGGTAAAGAAAGTTTCAAACAACTGATTGTTATTTTTTCAAATAACCCTTCTTATTCAACTGGACAATTCAGCTGTTTTTAGGGATTTTATGAAATACCACGGTGCCACATCCTGGCCAAGGTGTGTGTCTGTGTGTGCCTTGCTTTTCTGTCTTTATTTTCCACAGGGTTTGGGTTTGGTTGTGTGGGGGGTTTTAACCTATGCCCTTACTTGTAGATATTCTGCGACACTTACATGGAAGGCCAGGATTTCTAAAATGAACCTCTAACACATCGGACCCAGCTTTGGCTCTGCATCCTCATTGCCCAAGAGAGAGCCTTCCGGACTCCATGAGAATGAGGAAAGTCACAGACACAGGCAAATGTCTAGGATGAGAGGGGTTTCTTCTGGGTTCTACTAACCAGTTTACTTGTACAGCTTTCAGAGGTTGGAAAGGGAATCCAGATACAAAGATCTGACTGTCAAATGGCCAGTGTGACAGACAGTTGAGCACAGTCCTATGCACTGAGAGGTCACTAGTTGAATTCCTAGTCAGGGGCACATGCCCAGATGCCTAGGGTTTCAGACTGCATCCCCTGGGAGCAGGGAAGGGGGTGGGAGGGTGAGTGCAGAAGGCAGCTGATATCTCTTTTCTCTCTCTCTCTCTCTCTCTCTCTCTCTCTCTCTCTCTCTCTCTCTCTGTCTCTCTCTCTCTTCTTCTTCTTCTTCTTCTTCTTCTTCTTCTTCCTCCTCTTCTTCCTCTCTTCCTCTACCTTTCTCTCTCTCTAAATCAATAAAAACATATTTTTTTAAAAGTACCCCTGTGAGTTAGACGAAGCACTTGGTGCTGACTATGTGTTTGATGTGTCTCTCCCACACACATTCTTTGTGGCTGCAACCAAAATGTCCATGCCCAGATTCTTCTCTGGAAATCGCAGTCATATTCTGGTCTTTTTACTCTTGTTAATACACACACACACACACACACACACACACACACACACACACACAAACAAAACACACCCTTCCTCAGAATTCTCTGTGGCTTCACAAGCCCCTGAAAACCTCCATTCCTTTGCCATTTTGTAGTGGTGCCATCTCCTATTCCCTCATCTCACTGGCGTCACTGTTGGTGACCATCAGTAAGTGGCAATGGCCCAGACAGAACCCTGTTCTCTCACCTGTTCCCCTCAAGCACATAGTCTGATACCAGTTTGGGGACAGGCAGTCCTTGTCCAAGGAGACCTTGACCATATATCTAACCCATAAGCACACGAGTTTCTCCTCAATGATGTATCAGTCCGTTTTACAACAAGAGTTCTTAAAATTTATGTCTTCTATTAGGATTTAAAATGTGTTAATGAAATTTGCAGTCAAGGAAAAAGTAGAGAGAAATGAAATCCTGAAGAGGATGGAGTTAGAAAGACCTTCTTTAGGTGCTTAAATCAAGCCCTCTGTGTGTGGGAGTAATCAGCAAAACTGAGCAAGTACATGCCATTTTCTGGGTGAGGATTATCCCTCGCTCCTATCTATGACCACCTTCTCCCTAACTGTCAAAACCCATCGCTGCCGACTTCCTCTGGTCTGGCTTAGGTGTCTTCCAATGTGTGTGCACAGGGTGTGCAGCTCTTTAAGATGAGCACAGGCCACACTCTATCAAGATGCCTGGGTACTCTCAGAGCAGAGACTGGCATTGTTCCCAATAAGCCCCAGTGTCTACAGTGAGTGATCGATGAGTGAAAGATTGAATTATCACCTAGTGACCTAACCCTCTCAACATCTTACTTTTCTTTTTCTTTCAAACATATTTTTATTGATTTCAGAGAGGAAGGAAAAGGGAGAGAAAGATAGAAACATCAATGATAAGAGAGAATCATTGATTGGCCACCTCATGCACAACCCCCTTAGGGATCGAGCCTGCAACCCTGGCATGTGCCCTTGACAGGAATCGAATCCCAGACCCTTCAGTCCACAGGTTAACACTCTGATCCAAACCAGCTAGGGCAACATCTTACTTTTCTATCGCCCTCCTCTTTCTCTATTCTTTCTTGATACATTAACTGAAGTTCTCAATCCTTACTACAGGTAAGAGTCACCTCACAGGTAGTTAGGATGTCGTAAAATATCTTTGTCTGGCTTTATACCCAGAAATTCTGACTCAATGAAACCTGCTGTGGGACCTGGGCACAGGTATTTTCAAAAAGGAATTCCCTGGTGAAATCTGACTGAAGAGCCACTGTGTAACCCTTTTCTGCCCTTCTGGTCTCTTCCTACCCTCAAAATCCTTTCGTGCCTTTTGTTTGTTAACTTATGTTCATGTTCAGTGACCTCTGCCTCTCCCCCCTCCCACCACCACCACAGATAGGACTTTCTCCGTGAAACATAAAGAGGTACACATTGAGGGGGTTCTAATCCACAGAGGATTCCTTGGCTTGCTTTCATGCACCTCAAACTGGATGAAGCAACAGGAAGATCTGACATTCATCATGTTTCCTGGGAGTTGGGTGCTGTCTTACCCAACAGAATGAGCAGAACCCCAGCCAGCTGGGCCCGCCGGTACTTGGCGACCCCAGGCTCATGGCCCATGCGGATGCAGGGGAGAACTGTCAGCAGCAGGAGGATGGCCGGCAGGCCCAGGACCGAGGCTGCAATCATCAGGGCTCGGCAGGCCTGCACATAGCCTGCAAGCAAGAGAGCAGACAGGGCGGGTTAGACCACGGGAACTCTCGGATCCTGAATCCTGCCTCTCGGGAAGTCGGTCCCACTTGCCTTCCTCCCTCTTGCCCATTCCAGGTCTTAGAAGGTGTTAAATGTTGTCCATGACCACATCACATGTTCAACGTTTAAAGGGATTCGATGACCAAAAAAGGGAGGTTGAGGGCTGGACAGACTGAATGGGGATCTCAGGTTTAGGCCACTTGTCCAAGCTTCCGGGATGAAGGGGCCAAGAGTTCAATTATTATATCACCTTGTGAACGATTCAGAATAAAACTCAGGTCTTCCAAAAAGCCTTCTGTGAGGGCTGGGCTATTGGTTCCAGTCTCTTGTTGATATGCTCAACCTGTATGACCTTGGGCAAGTTACTGAACTGCTGTATCCTCAATTACAGAGTGAAAATAATAATAGTACCTACATTTCTCTAAAAGAATTCAACTAAGATTAAGTTAGTTAATTCACACAGTGCTTAGAACAGTGCCTAGCACATCCTAAGAACGCTAAAAAGGTTAGCTATGATTAATTGGTGTTCTTACTCCATTATCACCACTTTAAAGACATCCCTCCAGCCCTAAGGATTCCCTGAGGGCAGACACCTGGAGTTAACACAGTGCCCACGATAAACGATGTAAACATACAGTTATAAATGAAAGAATACCTGAGCTGACTAATAGGAGAGGAGCAAAACTAACGGGGCTTTATGCTGTAAAATAAAATGCCAGGCAACAGCTTTATTAAGAAACAGATTACAATCTGTGCAATATTTATGTAAAATAAGTCTGACAAGATACTGGAAGAAGCTGGCAAACTTAAATACATTGTTTCTCATTAAGACACTCTCCCTCCTTTAAAAAAAAAAAAAGTTGTATTTATTAATCTCTCTTTTTGGCTCAGAGCCAACTGGAGCTAGTGGCATGGCCTTGGAAAGGCAGAGTTATTGACAAAGTCAAAAAGTGAGTCCCAACTTCTGCCTCACTTGCCCGGACCCTCAGACCAAATCTGGCCAGCCTGCCCTGTGCCCCAAAACACAACTGCAACACTGTCTCTCAGCAGGATATGCCCTGCCAGAATTCAGACTCCACAAGGGCACACTTCAGACCACTGTCCATCCCAGCTTCTTATGAATTAAAGGAACTAATCAACGAAATAGCTATTGACTGGAACATCCGCAGAGAGGACCCACAGGAAGTCTGAGGCAGGCCCTCTGACACAGCTCAGCCCTTGTAGGAGAGCGGGGCTGACACATGGTCGGCTATAACATGAGGTTCTGAAATTCATGACGCAGGCTGTCCACGTGCTAGGTGGCAAGGCCATGTCTGGAAATCAAAGAGGGAGACTGAGCTCTGTCCCTGTCGCCACCCAAAGTACAAGGGACAGGGAAAGCAGGAAGAATGAAGCCCTCCCTAAAATGCACTCCCCTCAGTCAGAGGGTCTTTGAACCACTCGGTAGCACTGACTACTTAGTAAACTTAATTTCAGAAAAAGGAAGCAGGGAGTAATTTTATGCTTCAAAGTTCCTACAAATATCTTGCCTAGCTTCGAACAAAAAAATTGTGGCTACCTTTTATAGAGTGTCTACTATATCAGAAGAGTTTTACATTTCTCATCTCGTTTAATCCCCAAACAACTCTGAAAGATAGGGGGTTGGTCTGATTTTAATTTTTAAAAGAAGTCAACTGGGATTCTCACTGGTTAGTCACTTGTTCACATCACCCAGACTGTGAGCATGGGATCTGGTGCAGGATCAGAATATGGCCACGGTCTGCCTACCCCGGCATAAAGAGAAGCTGGGACCTCACCGGGGTCCCCGGGAGCTGTCATTCTAAAAGCCCAAAATGGAGCAACGGATAGTGAATGGAGGCCTGGCATGCATGGTTCAGGCCTGCTGTGTGCTAGAGCAATGCTGGTTCCAGGAGCGGGTGCAAAGGAAGTAGGAGGTCGCTTATACTTTCAGGAATTCCAAATGCAGCAGGAGATAGGGACTTAGGAACATGAGCAAAAACCAAGTCAAAATGTGGTAAGCGCCAAAACCAGAGCAGCAAGGAGGAAGTGGGGGCGGCTACTGATTCCCAAGACAAGGACTAATTAAGGGAGGCTTCCGGGGTCATCAGAAAGGCTCATCCACGAGGAAACACACACACACACACACACACACACACACACACACGCACGCACGCACACGCACACACGCACACGCACCAGCTCCCAGACTGGCAGCCTTGGGCCGAGTTTCTTCGCTTGTTAAGGAAATCGGGATATGCCTTATGCCTTTACACGAGCCCTGGGGGACATCAGACGATCATGGGCCCACACACCCGCCGGGCAGGGCAGAGACTCAGAGCAGAACCCAGACGAGGCGCCCGCGACCTCACCAATCACCCAGCTGGCTCCAGGTTTAAATCCGAATTGGAACGGTTGCCCAGACTTTGCCCATCAGGCTGCAAGTGGTGATGGGACCCCTGGCGAGCATCACTCCCTCCTCTCCCCCATCAGAGACACAGATGGCCGGGAGGGGGCGACCATGAGCGGCGGGCTTTTCCGGGAGGGAGCACAGGGGTCTCCAGGGGCGCCAGCTCTTACCTGAGCGCCGGGAGGCGGGAGGCCAGAGGCTGAGCGGAGCAGCGGACGCCCCCACGGCGGCGGGGACACGGGGGGGGGGGGGAGGGTAAGGCGGGCTTCGGGCCTGTGGGAACCGACCTCGCGAAGCCAGTGGGCACTAACTTGCCAGAGCGCATCCGGGAAACTCGCTGGAGTGGTTGCGTCTCTCTCTCTCCATCTCGCTTCTGGGGATGGAATCTTAACGGGAAAGCTGGGCGCCTGGGGAGGAGGCCTGGCGGGGAATGAGGTCCTTCTTCTGCTCAGGCGACAGCGGGAGCGTGGGGTGGGCGAGGAGGCGAGAATTCACATGGGCTGCGTTTCCACCATGTGTCTCCCTCCGTCTCAGGCCATTCACTTTCCAGGGGGACTGGGCCAGGGGCCACCCCCATCTTCCCAGATTCCAGATAAGAGAGCTGAGGCTGCCTAATTCCACTACAGCAGTGTTTCCCAAACTTCTCTCATGATGAGAATCACCTGGTGGAGTTGTTAAATTACAGATTCCTGAATCCCAACTAAGAAGTGCTAAACTAGAATTTTTGGGAACATATAGGTAAAATTGTATACTTAACTAGTGCTCTAATCTTAAATTGTAGACTTGCCCACACCTGGGAGCAACTAAAGCTCTAACTAAGCGTAGAGCACTAGTTAAGTATACAATTTTACTTATATGTTAGCTTAGAGCACTAGTTAAGTATACAATTTTACCTATATGTTCCCAAAAATTCTAGTTTAGCACTTCTTAGTTGGGATTCAGGAATCTGTAATTTAACAACTCCACCAGGTGATTCTCATCATGAGAGAAGTTTGGGAAACACTGCGCTACAGCAAGGTGGGGGACTCCAGGTGTCCACACAGGCCCCATAGGCTTGAAGCCCCCAAAATGTTTTATCTAGAAGCGCCCCCCCCCCCCAGTCTGCCCAGAGGGTGAGGGTTTGGGGCCAGCCCCTGGCCAGGCGGGGTCGGGGGCGGGGGGGGGGGGGGCCTTACCCGGCAGGATGAGGATGTCCACCAGGGGCTTGCAGTGGTACAGCCCCGTGGCCATGACGCAGTCGGCCCACAGCCCCTTGGAGCCCAGCTCGTCCAGCTTGCGGCACGTAGGGATGGTGTAGCCGCAGGTCACCACCCAGTCGTTGGTGGATGTGGTGACGATGATGCCGATCCAGCCCACGAAGCTCGTGACGAAGCCCACGACCTGCAGGCACGTGGCCACCATCGTAGCCACCCCGGCGTCCCCGCGCCTTGGCCCCCTCGCTAGTAGCTGTGCCCGCGCCCCCTGGGCTGGACGGCACCCACCCTGGTCCTCCCTTCTCCCGCGATCGGCCGCCGCAGGCCCTCGACGGCCAGTGGCAGGGACGCCGGAGGCGGTGTCAGGCCGCGAGAGGCTGCGAACCCGGCTCCGATGGATGGCGACGGCGCGCACCGGGGAGGGAGCGCACGGCTGGGACTGCGACCCGCGCTCACCGCGGACCGGAGAGCGGCTGGCAGCGCGCCCCCGCCCCCTCTTTAAACCCCTCCGCCCGGGCCGGGAGAGCCAATCGGTGACGGCCCTGGGCCGGGCCGACCAATCGCCGGCCGGGGTCTGGTGGGGGGTGTGGAGGGAGCGGGATGGGGGAGCTGGACAAGCACACAGCCCGGCCCCCCGGGGCGTCCCGCAGTCCGTGCTGGAAAGTAAGATGATTCTACCCAAGTCCGAGACTTGCAGAGCGCCCGCCCAGAGGGCTCGCGCGCCCGGCACAGGCTCTGTTTTGCCAGGAATTGTTTCTCCTCTTGTTGCCCCTCTCATCTCTGTCCTCGGGTCCCCGCTGCGCTCCATCCCTCCTCAACTCCTTCCCACCGGAAAGCAGGGAAGAAGGCAGTACCCGCGCGGGCTCCCCGTACAGTCCCTCCGCTGCATTCTGACGGATGAGCTGGGAATTGCCCTAAGGAGCACACTCAAAGCATTCAGTAAACCACAGTTAGTAGTAGAAAGAAAATGATACTTTTTTAAATAATATATATTATTGATTTTTCACAAAGAGGAAGGGAGAGGGATAGAGAGCTAGAAACATCGATGAGAGAGAAACATTGACCAGCTGCCTCCTGCACACCCCCTACTGGGGATGTGCCCACAACCAATGTACATGCCCTAGACCGAAATAGAATCTGGGACCTTCCAGTCCGCACACCGATGCTCTATCCACCGAGCCAAACCAGTTTCGGAGAAAATGATACTTTCTCTAGCCCAAAATCATCAGAGCAGCTATGACCAGAATAATAGTGATAACACAAGCGACTCCCATTTATCCAACTGTGTCGTGTACTTTTGTGCATGCATTTATGTTTATGTAATATCTCATAAAGTAGCTCATTAAATAATTCTCCTAAAACCCCTTTATGGTGGGCATAACGGTTGATACATAACATACATGAAGAACGGGCATGGGAGAGGATACGTTGCACACTTCACACTGCTAGGAAGTAGACTCCAAGGACCCATCTCACCACCCATCCTCCCCCTAACCATTCCTGGTTACCACTTCCTGAAAATTCCTACAGGGCTCACACATCCCATTGTTGACACATTAAAAGCTGGGCTGACTGCTCTGAGCTCACTGTAAAGAAGTTAATATCGGCACTCAACAGAGAATACTGCCTGGCCCAGGGTGCTCTACAAATGTACGCTATCATCACCAACATTAAACCACCTCCTCTCCAGGAATTCAAATAGGGTCCATTATATGCATCGATGAGAGAGAAACATCCATCAGCTGCCTCTTGCACACCCCCTACTGGGGATGTGCTCGCAACCAAGGTACATGCCCTTTACCGGAATCCAACCCGGGACCCTTCAGTCTGCAGGCCTACGCTCTATCTACTGAGCCAAACCGATTTCAGCTATGCATCGTTTTATCATGTAGAGAAGTCCTCTTTAGGCTACATTTATATTAAACAGCTTTAACTCCCTTTGAAACAAAGTGCTTATCTTGTTATATCTCTCTATCACCAATCATTAGATTTAAAGATGTGAAAGATTTCATCAAGCACAAAAACTTCCTACTCAGCACTCTAAGATGTGTGTCATACATCATAGGTACTGAGCTTTCCGATCGCTATTCCCAGTGCCAGGGTCAGGGCAAATCACCATGTCTTCTGCTTCTAGGGAAGACTGGCCTGAAGAAGACCCCAAAGAAGTCCAGTGCACAAAAAGAAAAGGTCTGTAATAGATGACAGAGTGTCAAGTAAAAGAGCCACCATAATCATTAAAGAGAGCCCGGGGGTCAAGAAGGAAAGCCAGGGTGTCTTGGTTCAAACCCTGGCTCCACTTCACTGGCTGTGGAACCAAGTTATTTCATCTTTTTGGGCCCCAATTTTCTTATTTGTAAAATGAAGATAAAAATAGTGCCTGCCTCATAGGTTTCTTAATGATTATGTGAGTTAGTATACATATAGAGCTTAACACAATTTCTGATATTAAGTGCTCAATAAACCTTGACTAGTCTTATTTTAGTATGACTAGTTGCCCAATGCATGAAATTCATGCATGGAGGGAGTTCCCTAAGCCCAGCCTGTACCTTCTCCAATTGGGGACCCGTTGGGGGTGACACTCTGTCATCTATTACAGACCTTTTCTTTTTGTGCACTTGACTTCTTCGGGGTTCCTTCAGGTCAGCCTTCCTTAGAAGTAGAAGACAGGGTGATATGCCCTGATTCTGGCACTGAGGATAGAGTTATCGGAAAGCTCAGTACCTATGATTTGTGACACATCTCTTAGAGTGTTGAGTAGGAAGTTTTTGTGCTTGATGAAATCTTTCACATCTTTAAATCTTATGATTGGTGATAGATATAATAAGATCCCTCTCACAATCTGGGACCACTGGCTCCTAACAGCTAACCTGCCTGCCTGCCTAATCACTCCTAACTGCCCTCCCCTGCCGATCTGATCTCGCCCCCAATGTTCTCCCCTGCCAGCCTGATCTCTCCCTGCACTGTCTCTGCCTGCCTGATCACCCCTCACTGCCTCCCCTGCCAGCCTGATCTTGCCCCCAACAGCCTTCCCCTGCCAGCCTGATTGCCTCTAACTGCCTCTGCCTGCCTGATCACTGCTCACTGCCCTCCCCTACCGGTTTGATCTCACCCCCAACTGCCCTCCTTGCCCACTAATTTGGTTCTGATTGTTTGGTTTCTATGCCAGTCAGTGTCTCTGGGCCTATCATCAGGGCCTGATCAGAAAGGCAGGGCTGATCAGCAGCCCCAGTAAAGGCCTGAAGAAAAATGGAGGCTGCTGGCCCAGCCTGGAGAGGAAGAGAGAGGCAAGTGCTGATCAACAGTTGCCACACAGGCTATGGATCAGACCCTGCTTCTCTCTTCAGGCCTCTCTCTGGGCCTGATTTATGCCCTCCCCCCAGCAGTCAGACTGCAGGACTGACTTCCAGTTGGTTGAGCCTTGGTCATGATGGACCCAGGGTTTTCTTATATTAGGATAATGCAAAACTCTTGCTGTGTTCTTTCTGTATTCCTACAAGTTTGAAACTATTTTATTAGTGACCCATTTATTGTGTTTAATAGCATTTCATAACCAGAGTCTATTTACCTGAATGTTTTCAGATATTTCCTTTTAAAAATAGCTATTGTATTAAGTACAACATAAAATATAAGACCCAAGCAACATCATTTCATTGAAAGCGCAGTTATAAAATCTGCACTCTTGTCACTCCATTAGCATTTGACATTCTAATGATAAAAACTCCACCAGTGAGGGCGGCAGACACCGTTGTGTGAGACACCATTGCGTCAGAGGCCAAGGCATGGTGGGTGACAACTTTCTTTTCGTAAACTTCATTTCGCTTTTACCAGCAAGAAGAGATTCCTCTTTCCGTGCCTAGTGCAGCCATGGCTCATGGTCCCAAGAAGCATCTGAAGCGTGTAGCAGCTCCAAAGCATTGGCTGTGGATAAACTGACCAGTGTATTTGCTCCTAGTCCATCTACCATTTCTCCGAGCTGAGAGAATGTCTCCCTCTCATCATTTTCCTAAGAAACAGACATAAGTATGCCCTAACAGGAGATGAAGTAAAGCATATCTGCATGCAGCGGTTCATTAAGATTGGTGGCAAGGCCTGAACCGATGTAACCTGCTGGTCTTATGGATGTCATCAGCATTTATAAGACAGGAGAGAATTTATGTCTGGTCTATGACACCAAAGGTCATTTTTAAAAATATATATTTTATTGATTTTTTTTACAGAGAGGAGGAGGGAGGGATAGAGAGCTAGAAACGTCGATGAGAGAGAAATATCGACCAGCTGCCCCTTGCACACCCCCTACCGGGGATGTGCCCACAACCAATGTACATGCCCTTGACCGGAATCAAACCTGGGACCTTTCAGTCCGCAGACCGACGCTCTACCCCTGAGCCAAACCGGTTTCGGCCCAAGGGTCATCTTGCTATTTATCATATCACACCTGAGGAGGCCAAGTACAAGCTGTGCAAAGTGAGGAAGATTTTTGTGGGCACAAAGGGAACCCCTCATCTGGTGACCCAGGGTGCTCGCACCATCCGCTACCCTGATCCCCTCATCAAGGTGAACACCACCATTCAGATTGATTTGGAATCTGGCAAAATTACCGATTTCATCAAGTTTGACACCAGTAACCTGGGTGTGATCACTGAGGTGCCAATCTGGGAAGATTGGTGTTATCACCAACAGAGAGATAAACACCCTGGTTCTTTTGACCTAGTGCATGTCAAATATGCCACTGGCAATAGCTTTGCTACCCGGCTCTCCAACATTTTTGTTATCAGCAAAGGCAACAAACCATGGATTTCCCTTCCCCTTGGAAAGGGTATTCACCTCACCATTGCTGCAGAGAGAGACAAGAGACTGGCGGCCAAACAGTTGGTGAAATGAGCTGACGTGACATGATTTGGAGAGTCTTGTGCTTAATTAATTAAAGATAAAGCAGCATGGGGGTGGAGGGAGGAGATGGAGGAAATGGACATGCCCACTAAGATGCTAATAATTCATAACTAAATGCCATTCCCTTTTCCTGCGGGACATAACAGCTAATTTTTAGTCCCTTGCCTTAAAATCATCCTCACTTCAACCTCTTCCTTTTTTTTATAAACTGGATTAGTTCACTGTACTTTTCAGTTTGTAACCAGCTATCAGCTCTCATTTCATTTACTTGTTTATTCCCTTTTAGTCACATTTCTTACTTCCTATCTCCTAGCTGCA